CTTTAGCTAGTACATGCACAGGGAATATCCCTACAAAGTTTCAGCCTCTCAGCTCATGTAGTTCCCCAGATCGCTTTCCCGCCAAAAAACTTGCATATTTTCTTAAAGCTTCTGTACGCGGTACCCAGGCGTCCGAGGGGGATGAAATTAAAACGGGAGGGCCGCGTATTGTATAGACACATAACCTCAATGTTTCAGCCTTCTAGCTTTTGTGGTTCTCGAGTTGAAAGTGGGTGACAAAAAGTGCGAGTACACAGACACACACACATACAACCTCTTCCCAGTATGCGTTTTTGCAATTTACATATATGCAAAACGCATAAAAATTTAAATTCTCGGCTTCCGTAATCATTGAGTTGAGTTATTCAAGCAAACACACAGTTGGAGCTTTAGCTTTTGATTTTTGCATAAAAACGACTATTTAAACCTTATTTCCAGAGGCAAAATAATTCATTTATGTTGTACATTCGAGCTGCTAACGGTAGAGTTCTTGTTCGGTCTCGATTTGCTTTCTAAACCTGATTAATCAAAATACACGTGAGTGTGTTTTTCAGCTGCTGGTCCATCACAGTTGGGCTCATAAATTTTCGCACGCACTTAGAACGAGCAAGAACAATTTTTAAATTTTGTTTGCTATGACCTTTAAAGCGGCTTGGATTTAAATATTGTGAATTTATAAAAAAGTACTGCAGCGGATATTAACTGAAGGTATGCGGTCCAGGATCGAAGATCCTAACATAGTTGTGCTAGGCATTTGTGAGTCCCCCAGTAATATCATTAATATGGAATACCTAAACATTATGGCTCGGACGGTCCTAGTATTCTTGGTTTATTGTGCAAAAAGTAAATTTTAACAGAATTTGAAATACTAAAAAGAAATAGGTATCTGCAGAAGTGTATGAATTTCGGTTTTGTCTGTTGTGCTTTAATGTTCAAAGTCATTCAGCATTCAAAAAAGAATTATCAAATGGCATCTGAAGATAGCGGCGTGTCATCATTTCAACGCTTTCCTCGTTTCAATGCATCTCTTTGCTCACTTTGCACTGCCGGTTTATTCTGGTACGCAACTTTTCGTTTTTCTGAAACATATATTTTTACTTACGGAGAGATAACTATAGGCTAAGTATAAGCAGTTAAAAGAAACTGACAAAATGTAAACGAAATGTTTTTTCTGTTAAATTACACACTTTCTACCCTGGAACCACAACCGAACAACGAAGGCAGAGCGATTTCGCTTGCGGTGTGAGCTAGCACATATATATTAGTTAAAAACATGACCAAAAATCTTAGAGCCTCTGTCCTGACCTTTAAAACAAGATATATATTCATGAGTTTGATGTTGATGTTAACTAGGCTGTCATCCTGATCGCTATACATTTGGAAGCGCATGCGTGAATACACATTTTTAGAGATTTCGCGTTGAAAGGAGGAAAACACTATCTAAAGGATAGCCGATTTTGCTCTTCACGTTCGCATTTAATGCATGCAATGTCATTCTTTGTCTTTTGTCTTTCTGGAGCTTAATTCTACTAACAAACACATGAAAATGAAGCATTGTCCCAATATTTCAGATTTCTCTTTGTCTGGTTTCAGAGATTAGAAAACTACTAAAAATTTCCCATCAAAATTTCGGTATGTCCGAAAATGGCTCACACAAAAATTGGATTTGAAATCTTAAACAGAGAATATCTTTCAAAAAATTTCAAAATGCTGTCTTTTCTGGTTTCAGAGTTAGTAACTTTTCGCCAAAATCTTTGCATGAGCGTGAATGAGGAGTGTAAAAGTTGATACAAAGTCCCTGAAGCCACACTTTTTCGAAGAGTATACTGGAAAGTTGTAGCACTCATGCGTGCTCGGTTCTCGGGTTGAAAAACCGAACAGATACAGAAGCAGAGCCATCACAATAGGCACTTTTGCTCATATTTGCAGCGCGGCAGTGAGTAGAGCTCATAAAAAAGGCGCGTGGTGCAAAACATAGGTCTCAGTTTCACAAATTAGTGCCAGAGAGCTGTTTTAAGGTAATAAGTTCATGAATACTTGGAGATTTGCAATAGTGCATTAATTTTTAGTCGAATTGAAATTTAGATTCATTAAATTCAGTTTCCATTTCTCATTTGCCAGCACTCTAACATCAATCTATCACACAGCATGGCCAGCAATTCAGTGTTTAAATACGATGAGGCGATGGGAAGCTTGATGGCCATCACAGCTGGCATATTCACCTATAACTGGTATATGTTATATGGAGGAGCGCTAACTCGAGCCAGGCGCGCATTTCTCAATGTTGCAAATGTGCTTGACACATACCAGTATGTTTCAGTTTAACACATATCAGTGAGTGGAGACTCTCAATTTTTTTTTAACTGATCGGTGGAAATAAAAACGCATTCTGCGCAGCCATTTCTGGTCAGTTACTATAACTCGGCTCAGCTCTGCTTGTTCGGACTGTGGGGCTAGTTGTCGTACTACGTCACCTCGGATGGCAGGGTGAGAATAGAGGTGGATGGGAGGCGACAGAGCCGGGAAGTTGGTTTCGGTCACAAGGGTCGTGACAGCGAAAAAGGAGGCAAGGGTCGCTTCTCTCTTCATCCTCAACTAAATCTTCCTCAGCTGCCGCTTTTTCGAAAAATTTCGATATACTTTTATTTTTGATTCGCCTTATCAGTTGAGTACTTTTTGATCATATTACCAGGATTTACAATCGAAAATACGGCCATTTCTACGAATCGGATCCAGACACACCCGGCGACGCAGCGGATACGTTTAAAAAAGCTGCAGCATCGTCGCTTGGCGACATTTTCAAAGAAAGCGGGCCTGCCACCAGCGATGATCGCAGCAGATTTGAGGAGGTTAGATGCGAATGCGATACTACTGCCAGCTCAGCTAACCTTCTATAGTGTAGCACAGCTTTTCTATATTTTTTGCCTTCTGTTTTAATGTACAAACCAACTGTTTTTTTTTTTTTTTTTGTGATCGGATGTCAGAATCTTTGGCCTTAGTTCCCAACTACTCATCGTCTACTGAAAAAAAAAAA